AGCGGGGGCTTCATCTCCTACTTGAATGCCGACCGGAGGGGTCGCAAGATCGGGAGGGAGTTCGGTCCTGAGAGCAAGGGAAAGCCGAGAGAGAGAGAGAGAGGGAGAGTGAGAGCGTGAGAGAGAGGGAGCGAATCATCGTCCCCTAGACGAAGTCACCCCTCAAGTCTTCATTCAGAGCGAAATGCCGAAGAAGGAAGCCTGCTTCCCCGTATCCTTCGCTGCATTATCTCAAAACATGCGAAAGGAAGCTGCTCTCTGAAGCAGATCGCTGCTTTGCCTGTAGAGGATCGCAGAAATCACGCTGAAACTTCATCGATTCAATCAAAGCCGTCCGATCTATTCCTTGATTTAGAAGATGAATTCAAATTATTTAAAAGGGCAAATGGATTTTAGTAGAATTAAATTGAGTTGGATCAAGTCCAAATTTACTAAGATCATATTAGACTCAAGTCTGAATTCGACTCAATTCGAGTCAATTCGGGTTCGAGCCAGCACAACGAATTCGATCGCACGAAATTAAGTCCAAAAATAAAAAAAACAATTTAAATCGAAATAAGGTATGACGCAACAAGAATGGGACGATCGAGTCTACTTGAACACAATCAGATTTAATCCGGCTTGAGTCAGGTCAATTCGAGCTCCAATTAAACTCGACGAGGCTCAATTAAACTGATGGAAGGTGCTCGAGCACACTCGATCCAAAATCGAGGTCAACAGCATGTAGTGTATCCCAAGCCTCCTTCGAGGTATTCGCTGTAGAAATCCCCTCAAAATTAATTTAATCTACTGTTTGATAGATGAAGAAAAGGGCCTTCCGACCTTTCTTTCTATTTTCTTTCAATTCGTGAAAAAGCCTTTAATTCAAATCTCTCTCAAATTCAGGCTCCCGAAAATCGCTCTCTATAATTTCCCACAACTCTTGAGATTGATACAACACCCGTATTTGAATACAGCATTGATTGTTGTTCTTCCCCGTGAACTTTGGCAACTGTTGTTACAAATTATGGCTACTTGAACTCGCTACCATTCTCCAACCAATCTCTGATACCAAAGATGGAAGCATAAAAAAAAACATCACAAAACTGAAAGAGAACAACCAAAAAAAACATCTATTCTCCACTAGACATTCACGGGAAACAGAACAAAATAGAGAGCAAGTAATATTTTATCCTTCAGAATAGTAATACACATAGGGTACACACAAAAATAGCTTAAAAATTCTCTACAAATAAATAAATAAATAACCAAAATGAAAAATCGCTTGGTTTGAAAAATATCCAACAGGTAACCCTTGTTCATTTCTTCCTCCATTGTCGTGAGAACCATTATTGTTCTTCCTCCATCATCATTTAAGGACCTCACTTGCAGTTAAGGTAACTATTTTTCTCCCTTCTGAGTGCTTCTTTGGCCAAATCTCATAAATCGCTTTCGCCTTTGTATTCGGCCAAATCTTTTAAATCTGCTTAAGGGGAAGACTGCCATGTTTATATCGTAGTCTCCGCAGCAGCTAGAGAGAATATGATAGATTCAAATACCTCATGACCCATTTTACTTAGAATGCCTCACCAAATGATGCTTCTATATGTATTGTTGTTTATCATGTTTCCACTACATGAAGTATCGTTCTTTTTTACAGTCCCTGCCATCGTCGATCTCCAATGCCTTTGTGCTTCTATCCTTCAAATTAGTAGTTGACCCCGATAATATCTGCCTAAGTTTTTTTTTTTTTTTCCACCGACAACCATTCAACATCTAGGGCATATAGGAGGCCCTGCATATCATGCTCTGCCGACGACATAGTTGTTCGCCTCGTTCTTGAGAATCTTGACCTAAACAATACCTTACCTAAGTCTACCCTCGATCGCCTCAACCAACTCCATGTGCTTCGAGTTCACCCCCTTTGACAATGTTCCATTTATGTTGGATCGGAAGTCACAGAAGCTTTGAGCATTGAACAAAATTTTACTACATTCAAGTTTTTTTCCTCTTCATCTTCCTTCTCTCCTCCTTCACCGTCTTCCATGGCTTTTAAAGCGTCGAGGCCTGCAACCTCTTGTCATTCTCTCCCGCTTTTGACCGTTCTCTTTATTCTCATTACCATCCTCCTCCAACCTCAATTTCTCGAGAAGGTTCATTCCACAACTTCGATTGTTGTCTGCAAGTACAGGGGATGAAGCATTTGACGACGCAGTGGTGACGTAGATAGTCGGTAGAGGAAGTTTCCTGCAGTTAAACGAATAGAACAGTAACACAAAAACAAGACAAGAAGTTGCTAAGCAACAAACAGCGGAGTATATTTCTTTTCTACTATGGAAACTAAAAGCATTACAGCTTTTGTATATGGACGAAAGCTAAAAATAGCAACCCATAATAGAAAGTTGCATAGTACTATTTGCTACTAAAAGGGAAAAATAGGTAGTGGAGATTCAACTAATACTGCAATAATAAAGCTATGCATAACGGAATGATAAAATACTCCCTGCGGCTAAGATGATCCGCAACAGGAAGATGGTCCACATCAGGACTCCCCCGCCGAGGAAAGGTTTGATGTCTCAGCAGACACAGTCGTGGGCGCCTCGTCGGAGGGATAATAAGGATGAATGTTGGCCACATTGAAGGTAGAAGTCATACCAAATTCTGGCGGTAAATCTATGACATATGTGTTGTCATTTACCTTTTATAAAATGGGAAAGGGGCCAACTTTGCGGCGACCCAATTTAGAATATGTTCCTGCAGGTAGTCGCTCACGACGAAGGTAAACCATAACTAATTCCCCTGGCTTAAAAAGTCATTCTCGGCGATGTGAATCTGTAGCCAATTTATAGTTCTCAATGGAAGAGAGTAGCTTGAGCCTTATGTTCTGTAACATTTGAGAGAATTGATCATGTTCTGTAACATTTGAGAGAATTGATCAACTAAATGGGCTGCCTGCCGATTATGACACTTCGGAAGGCTTGCAACATCAACCATATGGTTCGGCGCCTTGGTGTAAACAATATGAAATGGAGAGGTACCAGTGGATCAGTTAGACATGCTATTGTAAGTAAACTCCGCCTAGCTCAAGAGTTCATCCCATTGTCGAGGTTCTTCTTGCACTAAACACCTCATCATGTTTCCCAGAGTACGGTTCACAACTTCAGTCTGCCCATCTGCTTGCAGGTGATAACCAGAGCTTAAATTAATATCAGTTTTAAGCCTCTTCCATAATTCATGCCAAAAGTGGATAATAAATTTAACATCCCTGTTAGAGGTCAAACTACGAGGGATTCCATGCAATCGGACAATTTCATTAAAGAACAGATGGGCAAGGTTCAGGGCGTCACAAGTTTTCTTGCAAGCAATAAAGTGTGCCATTTTAGAGAATATATCTACGACTACCATGATAGAGTCATTACCTCGCTTAGTTTGTGGCAATCCGAGGACAAAATCAAGACTAAGGTCCTCCCATATAGTCTCCGGAACATGCAATGGAAAATATAAGCTGGTGTTTTGCTTAACACCTTTATACGATTGGCATACTGGGCAGCGTTCCAAGAAACTGGCAACATCCCTACGCAAATGTGGCCAAAAGAAATGCAATTGTAATTGCTCGAGTGTCTTATCACGGCCCACATAAGCGGCAAGGCCTCCGCAGTGAATTTCTTGAATGATTTGTTGTCGCCACGATGAATCAGGAACACAAAGAGCACTTTGTTTGAACAAAAATCCATGCTTGATAAAATATTTCCCAACTGAATTTTTTTCCAAGCATTCCGCCCAGATTTTTTGGAAATCCTTGTCCGTTGAGTATAAATCCTGCAGACATTGAAGGCCCGTAATTTCAGTGTTAAGCTGAGTCAGGAGTGTAAATTTACGGCTTAATGCATCAGCAACTCTGTTTTCCGCCCCAGACTTGTGTTTGAGGACAAAGGTAAATCTTTGTAAGAACAGAATCCAACGGGCGTGCATCCTGCTGAGCGTTTTTTGATTATTAATATACTGCAAGGCCTTATGATCACTGTGTAACATGAAATCCTGATGCAAGAGATAATGTTCCCATTGTTTGAGGGCACGAACCACGGCATATAGTTCTTGTTCGTATACATCCATTTTTGGCAGGCTGGGAAATGTTTTTCACTAAAATACTCTATCGGTCTGTTCTGTTGCATTAGAAAAGCGCCAATCCCGGTAGTGGAGGCATCCGTTTCAATCATAAATGGTTTATCAAAGTCCGGGAATGCAAGAACAGGTGTCGACGAGAGTGCGGCTTTGACTACTTCGAAACTCCTTTGTTGATCTTCCGCCCAGGTGAACTGTTTGGACTTCAAACAGTCGGTCAAGGTTGCAGCGAGGATACTAAAACCCTTGATGAATCGACGGTAAAAATTCGTTAGGCCGTGAAAACTTCACATGTCGAAGAAGGATTGAGGAGTGGGCCACTCGGAGATAGCCTTAATCTTCTTCGGATCGACTTGCACACCACCTGCAGAAATGATAAAACCCAAGAAATACATAGTGCTAGTGGCAAATTCACACTTGGGTAAGTTCAAATACAACTTATTAGCTTGTAGGATTTCAAATACTTGCTACAAATGTTGTAGATGAGTAGCCAAGGACGGGCTGAAAATGAGGAAGTCGTCGAAATAGACGACGCAATTCTTGTTCAAACAGGGCTTCAAAATCTCATTCATAAGCCGCATAAAGGTCGAAGGCACATTACACAGCCCAAATGGCATGACTCGCCATTCATACAGACCTTGATGCGTTTTGAGCGCAGTCTTCCACTCGTCACCCGGTCGGAGCCGTATTTGGTGATACCCGCTACAAAGGTCAAGTTTAGAAAAAATAATGGCCCCGGAGAGTTTCTCCAACAGCTCATCAATTCTAGGTACCGAAAAATGGAACTTTACTGTGATCTTATTTATGGCACGGCTATCCATGCACATACGCCAAGAATCGTCCTTCTTGGGAACTAATAATGCCGGTACGGCGCACGGGCTAAGGCTCGGTTGGATTAATTATTTTTCCAGTAAGTCTTTTACAAGCTCTTGAAGGATAGCATGATCTTTGGGACTCATTTGGTAGTGCGGTGCATTCGGCAGAGTTGCTCCCGATATCAAATCGATTTTGTGTTGAAGAGCTCGGAGTGGTTGTAACACGGCAGGTAATGTTGCAAGAGCCACATCCGCAAACTGATCCAGTAACTGTTTAACCTCAATGGGAATCTCACCGTGTTGCTCTGCTGTAGGTTGCTCCTTAACTATCAGTGCTATCAAAGTATGTGTCTCCTGGATGGCGTGAATGAGAGCTGATCCAGAGACAAGTTGCATTATAGCAGGTTTGGTGCCAGATGACTCAACTCTGTCATTGAGGTAAGGCATCAACTTGAGGGGTCTTCCCTTCCACTCCAAAGAATAGGAGTTTGATCTCCCATCATAGATTACACCAACATCGAATTGCCACGGGTGCCCCAGAATGATGTGGCAAACATCCATATTAAGGATGTCGCACGACACCTCGCAGACATAATGTTTACCAATGGAAAAAGTGACTCGACAAATTTCTGAAATTGAGATGTCCATCCCTTTCTTGACCTAGCCAATCTTGTAAGGACTCAAATTTTTAGTAGTTTTGAGCAGTAAAGCCTGGACGACTGAACGAGCGATGACATTTTCCGTGTACCCGCTGTCAATTAATAAATCACATACCTTTCCCTTGATCGTACATCTGGTTTTGAAAACAGCATTTCATTGTGAAATGGAAGGCTGTCGAGGTGCTAGTAGCATCTTCTCCATGACGCAAATCAATGGTTCGCCAGTATCCGGTGTCACCTCTTCCTCTGCAAGGTTTTGTTCTTCACCTTCAGCTTGCTCTTCCTCTCCCTCCACTGTAGTGAGTTGTAATTGCAGCCAGTTTGGAAACTCATTTGACTTGTATCCCAACTAAAAACAACGAAAACACTTGATTGTGTTCGACCGAGTGTAGGGATTCTCCCTCATTGCTGCCTTCAGTTTCGGTTGTGCCCTGGTATCCTCTAGAGATTTCGTCGCGGCTGTTGGTTGGGCACTGTGGGAAGAGGACATTGGCGTTTGATGGCCCGCTGCAGTCTTAGTAACTAGAGTAATAGGCTTAATAATATCAGTGTTGACATCATTATATGATCTCCTATGTGGATACTGCTTGTACTCCCGAGACAATTGCATTTCAGCCTTTAGTGCAAATTTAACCGCTTGTGATAAAGACCAAACCGAATTCAGTTCGAGTTTGTCTTGAATATCATCTTTAAGGCCGCCAATATACCAGGCAATAATTTGCGTGGTGTTCTCATTGAGATTATTCCGGGCGCTGAGGCGATAGAATTCTTTCGTGTACTCATTCACAGTCCTCGTCCCTTGATTACAGTGTTGATACCTAAGGTACAACATCTGTTCATAAGATGAGAGCGTAGAAGTTGTTTCATCCGATGCCAGTTACGAACCATACCACGCCCTCTCTCCGGCGGGTTTGTAGGAGTTGCAACCACCATGCACTAGCTCCCCCTTTTTGTCTACAAGCAACATATTTCACTTGTTTCTCTGGTTCGATGTCCATATACTCAAAAAAAGTTTCAACCGACCTCTCCCAATCCAAGTAGTCCTCAATATGCAAGCAACCATCAAAGAATGGTATGTCGATTTTTACTCGTAATTCTCCCTGAGGATGAGGGAGCTGATTGCTGCGGCGTATTTGATGGCCCTGAACAGGAACAAATTCACCCTCTGATTCAGACGGCATTTCCTCTTGGAAATACCCAACATCCTCATCCTCTGACTCCGTGAATTCGGAGACAACTGGGACGCGCCTCTTACGTCCACAACCTCAGTCTCGATCTCTATTACCCGTTCTCGCCGGTAACCCCCGGTTTGGTCGGTGTCCGCCCATTTCTGCTCTCAGGGACTGAAATTGCCGCCGCATATCAACAGATAATCTGAACAGATTAGACGATACCTCATCCATCCGCTGATTAAGACTGTTGTGGGCTGCCCAAAGTGTGTCAAGACTGCGATCATCGTCGCCAGTCCCTCATCTACTGTCGTCGGCCATTCCTCCAAGCAACCTGCTCTGATACCAATACTGACATAGGTAGTCGGTAGAGGAAGTTTCCTGCAGTTAAACGAATAGAACAGTAACACAAAAACAAGACAAGAAGTTGCTAAGCAACAAACAGCAGAGTATATTTCTTTTCTACTACGGAAACTAAAAGCATTACAGCTTTTGTATAAGGACTAAAGCTAAAAATAGCAACCCATAACAGAAAGTTGCATAGTACTATTAGCTACTAAAAGGGAAAAATAGGTAATGGAGATTCAACTAATACTGCAATAATAAAGCTATGCATAACTGAATGATAAAATACTCCCTACGGCTAAGATGATCCACAACAGGAAGATGGTCCGCATCAAGTGGTCTCTCCCCTTTCGTCTCCAGTTGTCTCCAACTTCTCCAACATCTCTATCTCCATCTCCATCGTCGGCATCTCTGCCTTTCCTTGTTTGTGAAGATCAAAAATAGTCTTCAGAACCTCAATCTAAATCATTTTTATTTAAAGTTAATGAAGTTATAATTTTGATTATTTAGGTGGTAATGCATTTATCATTGGCAAAAAGTTTATATAATACACTGATTATATTTTACACAGTATACACCTAATCAAACAAAAAAAATAATTCTCTTGCATTTATTTTACTTCAAATGAAATAATTTTAAAATATTTACTTTATATTATATTTAGTTTGCAATATTTTATTTTACATTCTATTTACATTCGCAGTCCTAATATCACTGAAATTTCAGAATAATTAAGAGTATTTTTCGAAATGCATAATTTTAAGCTGATGAAATTCGCTGAATGGCACCTATTTGGGACAACTTTTTTGTTCCGCAAAATAATAAATATCTTTTCCAAAGATAACAGCCAACAGAACATTAAGCCATTTAAAACGGCACTGATCTATGTCAAGTCTATCTTTTCAAAAACCAACTAATGTCCTTTTTACTGCTTGTGGCTTTGTCCTTTGGTATAACGAATGAGAAGCTTCTCCATGAAAAGAAGGCAAGTGAACACTTTACACGCAAGTATGTATTATTGAATGCTTACTTCCTCATCAAGAATCATGGTGCTACATAATGTATGAGTAACGTCAACTAATTTATGTTTCTAATTATTTAGAAAGATCATCTGCCCATAAATGAAGAAATTATTTTGTTTGCGGATAGTCTTGAGATTAATTAGAATGCATCACATCATTCAGTGCACATCGGTGTCGAGCACAAGTACCGAGCATAAAAGTGACACGATGCATTATGGTTGGTCTCCGAATGTTGTTTGGTGTCCGTATAGGATATTTTTTCTCATAAATGAGTGACGTTGGCAGCATTTTACATAATTGATAGTGAAGTTACTGTAGAGAAAATAATTTTGCTATTGGTTATAAAAAATAATTTTTTATTATAGAAAATTTTAATTATTTGAAAAAAAGTGGCCAATAAAGCTATCCCAAACAAGCATAAAGTCTATTAAAAAAAAGTAAAGTCTAAATTCATAAATGTTCGATAAACTATTAATGTGGATAGTATTGTAGTCGCCTTATTAAATTTGTGATATTTTTATGTTGCTTAATTTATTAATAAAAAAGTTTTGATTTACCGAAAATATGTTGGAAAATTCACTGACATTTTGGCCCAAAATATTCGCTAGTAATTTGCATTTTCCTTGTAGTGCGTCTCCTGATCACTACGATCTTTTCGAACACTGTTGTCCACATATTACAATCCTTCCGACCACCATTGCTTGACTATGATTCTTTCAACCTATAGCACCTGCAGACTATGATCCCTCCAATCACAATCATCCGACTATGATCCTTTCGGCCTTTGTCACCAGCAAATTATGTTTCTTACAACCACCGTCGAGCAGCTATGATCCCTCCGACCACAATCGCTTGACAAAAATCATTCAACCATCATCGTCCAACTACAGCCCTTCTGTTGGGGATGAAAATAAAACACCACAATGAAACAAACAAAAAAATCAGGAAGTAAAAGGACACTATAATTTAACGTGGAAAAACCCAAAATCAGGAAAAAAAATTCATGAGCCACACCACACGAAAAAATCCACTGTGAAAATTGGGGAGAAATAAGTATAGTACAAACCTATCTTCTCTCTCGCTTTATTATTATTTCTCTTCTCTCTTACAACGTTCTAACTCTCAAAACAAAAGAGAAAGACAAGACAATAACTCCAAGGGATGCAACCCTTAAAAATGAGGAAAAAAAAAGTTCAACCCGCCTCGCAGAGCTGCGACGCCAGTTTAGAGCGCTGCGGTGCTCAAACCTTCGATTTTGATCTATCCAGCGATATTGCAACACTCAAACCCCGTAGTGTTACGGCGCCGAATCTAGAGTGTTGTCGTGCTCCAGTCTCTGTTGTTTCTTCCAGCAAACTTTTAGCATGAAAATAAAGATGGGGTGCTTGGGTGCATAGCATCAGATACTTTGATACATAGTGCCGAGGCGTCGGGCGCTCGGGTGGGTAGCTCATGTTACGGATCTATTTTCATGATTTATGATTTTGATGATAGCAAACACTTCTATTTCTCTACGATGGCCTTATTTACTAACATTTCAGGACCACACGATCAGACTGCAATTTGGAACAAACTCAAGATTGGTTAGACTAGGTCTGAGTCAGTTTGTACACTTTTTCCTTTCTTGAGTCTATTGTATTTGGTGTGGCTCCTGATGCTTTGTAACTTGGAAGATTTTCTATTATTCCCTAAAGATTTTTATTTTTGGTAACATCGTCCGGACCGATATTTATATCGTCCAGGACGATCTGTCCAAAAATAAAAAATACTCATTAAGGCAGTCGTCATAAGCTAATCGGCCTGGACGATACTTGTATCATCCTGGACGATATGCTCAATTCAGAAAGAATAAGCCACCATGATCAGATTAGATATTCTTTATTTTAGGAAATCAGCCAGGACGATATATACATCGTCCAGGACGATCTAACTCAATTATGCCTAAACTGATCTGGTATATTTAGAAAGTATTAATGGCTGATTGATACGATCACATCGGCCGGGACGATAGTCGGATCGGCCAGGACGATGTCCTGGATGATTTACATCGGACAGCATCTATTCAGGACGATTGAAATCTATTTTAAACTAATCGTCCGAGATGATCATGAGATCGGCCAGGACGATGTAACCAATTTTTTTCTGATCGTCCCAAATTGTCCCGGGCTGATGAGCTTAATTTGTACTGATCATACAGGACGATATTAGTATCGTCCTGGACGATAATGTCGGCAACTTGCATTAATGAGCTTGTTTTGAGCTGTTCTATTTAAGCTATGACATGACACTTTGTAAGTGTCCTTTGCGGCCATTATAGCTTCGTTCTTATGGGGGAAACTTGAAGAGAGAGCTTGAAAGGGAGTGAGGAAATGGTGGAGTTTGAGAGAGGGAGAAGATCTTGTGAGGGGGGACTCAAGGGAGTGTGGAGGGGGTTCCACACGGTTGCTCCGGCA